GCCCCCTTTTGAATTATACAGCCTCTCCTCACTCAGCGACGTACTTGTTTACCAATGACTCAGGCTTATGACAGGCCTCTGATCATTTGCATCCCTAAATATATAGTATTAAGAACTGATTTCCTCTAGTCTGGTTTATTATAATATACAGTAAATTACTGTAGGTAGTAGGTTGGTAGACAGCAACCACCCAGGGAGGTACTACCATCCTACCAAATGAGTGTGAAACAAGCCTGTAATTGTTTTTCATGATGGTAGGATTGCTGGTCTCTCTCTGTCTCATAAACATGCAGGGTTGCAGGCACGTCTTGCTACACATGCATATACAAGCATATATATACTAACCCCTCTGGGTTTTCTTCTATTTTCTTTCTAGCACTTGTTCTTGTTTATTTCTGCTTATCTCCATGGGAAGTGGAACAAAAATTCTTCCTCCGTAAGCTATGCATGTCGTAAGAGGCGCCCTAAAGGCTGGGAGAAATGGGCTAGTAACCTCTTCTGTATAAATTACTAAAAATAAGGATAAGAAAAACTTTATAAAATTGGGATGTTTGAATGTATGTTGATGTAGTGCAGATGATAAGAAAGAGATGATTGCTAATGTTACAAATGAAAAGACGTTTGATGTCCTAGCCCTAAGTGAAACAAAGCTGAAGGGGGTAGGGGAGTTTCAGTAGGGAGAAATAAATGGGATTAAGGCAGGAGTATCTGAAAGAGTTAGGGCTAAGGAAGGGGAAGCAATAATGTTGAAGGATCAGATAGGGAGAGAAAAGAGGGAATATAAATGTATAAATTCAAGGATTATGTGGATTAAAATGAGGGTTGGATGCAAAAAGTGGGTCATAATAAGTGCGTATGCACCTGGAGAAGAGAGGAGTGTAGAGGAGAGAGAGATTTTGGGAGATGTTAAGCGAGTGTGTAGGAATTTATGAGCCAAGTGAAAGTAATTGTGGTAGGGGACCTATATGCTAAAGTAGAAGCATTTAGAGAGGATCTGGTAGGTAAGTGTTGCATGCAAAGAGTATGTACCCTGTATTCGGAGCATGTGAACACACTCATAAAAGGCTACCTTCCCAACCAGCGAACCAGGTCGCTAAGGGTTTGACGATATACGGGGCCCCATCGTCAAATCAGCACCTAGGTTCAGCCAATCATATTGTGGAACTGGCAATTGTGAAGGTGACATGGATACCACTCACATTCTCACCCTTGTCATTTTCACCCAGCTGCTGGTTGAACACGGTTGTCCATTCTGTCTCCAGGCTGTGTCTTTGCCTTTTGCTTTACCGTGTTGAACACATTTATTTCCAAATGTATATAGTGTACGTACTAGTAAATACTTAGAATCGCACTTGAAGGAAAATCTAATTCAAAGCCATTCAGCTGTGTTTGTTCTGCTCCTTGCTCCCCTTTACACCCAGGATAACAGGCCTTATTGTTCCTGGGTTGTAATATGGGTAGCCTGTCTGAGAGCTGGAGCTGGACTTAGAGCAGGAGTTGAGCCTAGAGTTGAAGCTGAAGCAGGAACATCAAATAGCTTGCTGTCTGGCATTGCATCAGCTTTGCCAACGCTTTACAAAACTTTGTGTGTCAGCTTTGCATTTTTCTTTCTTTATGGTCGGCCTGCTATTGTGTGATCGGTGACAGCTTACTATTTTGGCGTGTCAATTGCTTCGCTATGGTCAATCTTGCTGTTGTGTGAATATTTTGCAGTTGGTTTTGCTATTGCTCTTGTATGTGCGTACTCTGCATTCGTGTCAGCCTTGCTATAATGAATCTGCAGTCGTATTGTGCATAGCTACTTGAGTGTGTTGTAAGTAGCAGGTTGGGGATTAAATGCCACCTTTAAGAGTCCGACGATTAGTGACTGAGTTTACTCTACTAAACCTGCCTAAGTTCTCTCTACAGCATTGTTGGCATATTGCTCGATCTATTGGCATTGATTATCAAAGAACTCGAACTGCGGCGCAACTTCATAATCTTATTCACAGTAAATTAGAGACAGAAGCAGACATGGCACACCAGATTGACGTGTCCCCAGCTGCAGGAACTATTAATAAATCTCCACTTAGGTTTCTGCAGAATGGTCGAGAGACACCTCAGCAAAACTAGCAGCCTGGTGAAGCAAGAGATGTGTCAAGTTTGTCTCAGGGTGAGTCTGCTTCATTAGCACTTGAGTTAGCCAGACTCAATCTTGAACAAACTAAAGAGCAGCGTGCTTTTGCTATGGAGGAATTTGATAGAGAGAAGGAGAGGAGGCAATATAAAGGACTCTAATTTGCAAGGGGCAGTACAGTTTGTTCCTAGTTTCCTTGATGAAGCCGAGCCAGAACAGTTTTTCGAAGCTTTCAAAAACCAAGCTCGAGTCTTAGGGTGGCCTGAACAGCATTAGGCGTCATTGGTTCACACAGCATCGTTTGGTAAGGCACAGGAGTTTACATCAGTGTTAAATGACACTGAATTTAGCAACTATCGGGTGGTGAAGACCACAGCTTTTACCAGATGGTATAAAGCAAGTGGTGTCGCAACCTTCAGTGAATTGATTCAACTTATCTTGGTGGATAACCTGCTGGAGTCTGTGGGACCAGACGTTAGAGTCTTTCTGCAGGACCATGTCTTAACCACAGCACTGGAGGCAGCCAGGTTGGTTGATACTTTTGAAACCAACTACTCCTTGTCTGAGCAGCCCCATCTCTCTTTTCAACAGCCTGGCATGAGCAGAGATCGTCAACATTGGAGGATGAAGTGCCGGCAGGAAGGAGAATGCTTACGTCAGCCAACTATGTCACCTGGTGAGACAAGCTACTCAACTTATGGTCAACCTGGTGAGCGACAAACCACTCAACATGGTGTATCCCGACAACAGTACCCAGAGCAGCATCAGTCACAATGTCAGCAGGGAGCAAAGGTCAAGCCTGTCGTTTGCTTTTATTGTAATAAATCCGGCCACATTCGCCCAAACTGCCCAAATAAACCCCAACCATTAGGGAAAATTTATAATGTCCCTAGTAACATGACCTTGAAAGAAGTAGAGAAAGGGATGGCCCCTTATTACTGTACGAGTCGTATATTCCTTCAGGAAGACTCAAAGAAAACTGAAGTCAGGACCTTTAGGGATATTGGAGCATATTGCTCACTTATAAGAAAGGGAATACTTCGCCTTTCTGAACACACTTCATTGCAATCCTCTGTTCTGTTAGAAGCTTTTGTAGGAGCAATTTTTTCTGTCCCCTTGCATAAAATATATAGAGTGCAGATATTACACTGGATATTTGACTGTAGGTGTATCTGAGGGATTTCCAATGAAAGACGCAGTGTTATTACTGGGTAATAACATTACCACTTCTAGTAAGTCTCCAGAACCAATAATGATTAATTCTTCTCCGATGTTGGCCATAACTTGGGGAAAACCCCAAGGAATCTCTGATGAGAATGCTAACCTATCCTTGGACGACTCTGATCTCGGAATAGCCAATTTGTTTTACAAGGAAAACTGACCAGGGCCTCTTAAATTTAGTGAACAGACCCAGATCAAGCCTTCATATTCCAGGGTTGCAGGATTGCCAAATGTGTCTGTTTCCATGCCCGAGGGACTGTCCTTCCAAGCGGAACAGCGAAAAGACCCTTCATTGAATTTCAGTTTTCAGGCAGCCATGGGTAAATCCTTTCCAGATCACTTGGTCAAATAGAAACTTAAAAGCAACTATTTGATTTGCACTGAGACTGGTAAGGAGATAGAGGGTAGGCAACAGGCAGACGGGTTAGTGGTTCCAATGAAGTTTAGACCTCAAATATTAAATATAGCTCATGTACTTCATTAGGAGGACACCTAGGAATTACTAAAACGATATATATGATATTAAAAGAATTTTATTGGCCAAAATTAAGGCAGGATGTGAAGAATCATATCCGCTGTTGCCGAGAATGTCAACAAGTAGGGAAACCTGGACATTCCATTAAACCTGCACCTCTCCAGCCTATACCTGCTGATGGAGAACCTTTTGCAGAGTTAATTATAGATTGTGTAGGTCAGTACTTATTTACCGTTATGGATAGAGTAACTAGATACCCAGAAGCAATTCCCATGCACAGTATTTAATACAGTACTAAAGCAATTCTTAAAGCTTTAACCAAGTTTATCTCTTGCTTTGGCATTCCCAAATCTATTCAAAGTGATCAAGGTACTAACTTCATTGAAAAAGCCTTTAGGGAAACTTTGACTAGGCAAGGGATAATTCACAACTTATTCACTGCCTATCATCCTCAGTCCCAAGGCGCCTTAGAAAGATTCCGTCAGACGTTAAAAACCATGATGAGAACTTTTTGTATGCATTTTCCAACAGACTGGGATGAATCACTACCTTTGTTGTTGTTTTCAGTAAGGAAAACTGTGCAGGAGTCTGCAGGGTATAGTCTGTTTGAGCTGATCTTTGGGCACAATGTACGAGGTCCTTTTCAGGTGCTCAAGGAAGGATGGATGGGAGAAGACGTTAGCTCAACACTCTACAACCCTTCTTCAAGGCTGCAAGTGGCACGTCAGTTAGCCAAGGCTAACTTAAAGGCAGCTCAAAACAAGATGAAACAGAGGTATGACAGAAATTCACAGTTTCACTCCTTCCTTCCAGGAGACAAGGTGTTGGTACAGGAATCTATACCTGGCCACACCTTGAAAGCCAGATTTATGGGACCTATGCAAATTGTAAGTAAATTCTCCCCTTGACAAGACCTCAAAAACTAAATCTTACCACATTAATCAAATTAAAGCATTTAATACACGAGATAAAGTCCCAGTAATGACTCTGTCCTCTACCTCTGAGGATGTCCCTGACTCTGCACTATTTCTGGAATTAATGTCAAGCTTCCAAATTCTGTCCTCCTCAAGGACCCTAAACCTTTAATGGTGGGGCTATCTAAGATTCAAGTAACAAGTTTAAATTGCGCTTCTACAATCTTACCATGATATTTTTTCGGATGTGCTGAAAAAATGTACATTAGGTTATCATGATGTAGATGTGGGAAACTCTAAACCTATTAAACTCTTCCCCTACATAGCTAATCCTGAAAAACAGAGGCTACTTCAGCACGAGGTAGACTTTCTATTAGAGCATGGGTTAGTGTAGGAGTCACCTAGTCCATGGACTTCACTGTGCATCCTTGTTAAAAAGGCTGATGGAGGTTTTCGAATGTGTACAGACTACCGTTAGGTGAACGAGGTCACAATTACAGATGCTTACCCTCTTCCTAGTCTGGATGACGTAATCGACTCTGTGGGCAAGGCTACTTTTGCATCCAAGTTAGATCTCCTTAAAGGTTACTATCAAGTACCTTTGACAGATAAGGTGAAGGAAATCTCTGCCTTTGTAATTCCAGGTCATTATCAATATACAGTTACCCCTTTTGAATGAAAAACTCACCCTCTTCATTCCAGAAAATTATCCATCAGGCTATTAAAGGACTTGACGGCACTGCAGCTTATCTAGACATTATTGCTGTATTGGATACTTGGGATCACACATGTTTAGGCTTAAGGCTGCCTTTGAGACCTTCCAGAGTTCCCACTTAACTGTTAATTTATTTAAGTCTTACTTTGGCCAGGCTACTGTTAATTTTTTGGGCCATGAAGAAGGTAGTGGTAAAGTTGCCCCTAAATTTGCTAACGTTCTTGCCATTAAAGATTATCCAATACCTCATAAAAGGAAATCCCTTCAACGTTTCCTAGGTATGGTAGGATTTTATAGAAGATTCTGCAAAAATTTCTCAGATATTGCAGCCCCTCTATCCTCACTTACCAGTCACAAAGTTCCCTTTAATTGGACCCCAGAATGTCACAATGCTTTTACAAAAGCAAAAAGATTACCTTGTACTGCACCCATTCCTTTGTCTCCAGACTTCTCCAAACCTTTTTCATTACAGGTTGATGTTTGTGAGTCTGGGGTTGGGGCAGTACTTTTGCAAGCAGGGAACAATGGGTTGCAGCCTGTGGCTTACTACTCGGCCAAGTACCAGCCGCACCAGAGGGCCTACTCTACAAATGAAAAAGAGCCCTCGCTCTGGTACTGGCCTTGGAGCACTTTGATATATATGTGGGCCAGACTTCACAAGTGGTCACAGTCTACACTAACCACAACCCTCTAATTTATCTTCAGCATATAAGGAATCACAAGAATAATGAGGTGGACCATCAAGCTGCAACCTTATAACATATGTATTAACCCTTTCAGGGTCCAAGGCCCAAATCTGGAGTCACGCACCAGTGTCCAAGAATTTTCAAAAAAAAAATTTTTTATTTTTTCTTATGAAATCATAGAGAATCTTTTTGTGAAGGTAATAAAACAAAAAGTACGAAATTTGGTGGAAAATTGACGAAATTATGCTCTCGCGAATTTTGATGTGTCAGCGATATTTACGAATCGGCGATTTTGCCGACTTTGACTCCCATTTTAGGCCAATTACATTAATCCAATCAACCAAATTCTTAGCTATTTCACTAGTATTACTTCTATTCTATCGACTGAGCACAAGAAATCGCCAAGTCAACTGTTTCAACTACAAAATAAAGTGATCGGAAATTGTTAATTTGGCCAATTTAACACAAAATTCAAAATATTCCAATTTCAAAATAGGGTCCAGAATGAACAATGTAGGCATTCCTAGCACTAAACTAACATTTCCTCTGTTCATTAGTTATGTTTTGAGGCTTTACAAATAAATTCCATTTTGATTTTTTATTCACATAATGAATTTTTATTCACACCAAAAAATAGAAGATTTACTGTTATGCAATACTGTAATAATTGTATAAATATCATCACCATATTTGTGAATGTATATTAGACCCACCAGCTGACGTGTATTAGACGTGTGAGGTCGTTTGTTTACTCTTGAATATCGGCAAAAATTTAACATTTCCGCTACTTTGAGCTCAGTTTCAAGCCATTTCCAATGCTAAAACCAATCAAAATCATCTCTATTTCTGTAATATGTCTTCCATTCTATCAAATGAGACCAAGAAATCGCAAATACAACTATAAAAAACATACGAAAAAACACTGCAAAGTTGCTGTTTTAATCGAAAAATCATGATTTCATTTTTTCTCTCTCATTATACACAGTGTGCTGCAGGATCTGTTTTATGTGGTGCACACATACCACATAGATGTATTCTCTCATATCTAGGCCCAAATGTACCACTCACAGTTTATCAGAGTGAGCTGAGCTCATGGCGTAGATCTACGGTTTGGACTCTGAACGTAAAGCCGTAGATCTACGGGACGGACCCTGAAAGGGTTAAGCACATTGGAAATAAATGGTATAAAATACCAACACAATGGAAATATAAACACATATGCAGTATAATGTGATCCTGTTTGTGACTTGAAAAAGCCCACTGTGTGGGTGAAACGTAGTCAATAAAGGATCACATTATACTGCATACGTGTTTATATTTCCATTAAGCACATTGCTGGCCCAGATAATAAGTTGGCTGATTCTTTATCAAAAGTATAGAATTTATGTGTGTATTAGGTTAGGATGTGTTAGGGACCTTTGGTAACCAGTTTCAAGCTCTTTTTTCCCCCTTGGAGGTGGAAGCCTAGTCCTGAGCCTTCTTGGGGTGGGGGTGTTGCATGCAAAGATTATGTACCCTTTATTTGGAGCATGTGAACACACTCATAAAAGGCTACCTTCCCAACCAGGTTGCTAAGGGTTTGATGATTTATGGGGCCCCATCGTCAAATCAGCCAATCATATTGTGGAACTGGCAATTGCGAAGGTGATGTGGATACCACTCACATTCTCACCCTTGTCATTTTCACCCAACTGCTGGTTGAACACAGTTGTCCATTGTCTCCAGGCTGTGTCTGCCTTTTGCTTTACCATGTTATACACATGTATTTCCAACTGTATGTAGTGTACATACTTGTAAATACTTATAATCACACTTGGTGAAGGAAAATATAATTCAGTCATTCAGCTGTGTTTGTTCTGCTCCTTGCTCCCCTTTACACCCAGGATAACAGGTCTTATCGTTCCTGTTTGGGGTGCCAGGAGTAAATGATAATGGGGAGCATTTGGTCAAACTTTGTATAGAAAGGGGTGTGGTTATAGGTAACACATTTTAAGAAAGAGGATAAATAAGTACGTATACAAGATATGATGTAAGGCAAAATGACAGTACGTACTTGGACTACGTATTGGTAGATAAAATATTGTTGGATAGACTGCAGGATGTATATGTTTATAGAGGGGCCACAGATATATCAGATCACTTTTTAGTTCTAGCCACAGTGAAAGTAAAAGGTAGATAGGATAAAAGGAGAATGGAAACAGCAAGTAAGAGAGAAGTGAAGATTTATAAACTAATGGAGGAGGCAGTTAGGGTAAGATATAAACAACTGTTGGAGGAGAGATGGGCTAGTGAGAGTATAGGCAATGGGGTAGAAAATGCATGGGGTAAGTTTAAGAATACTATAGTGTTAAGAGTGTTCAGCAGAAGTTTGTGGTTACAGGAAAGTGGGTGCAGGAAGAAGAGCAATTGGTGGAATGATGATGTAGAAATAGTAGTAGGAGAGAAAACGTTAGCATATGAGAGGTTTTTACAAAGTAGAAGTGATGCAAGGAGGGAGGAGTATATGGAGAGAGAGAGAGAGAGAGGTTAAGAGAGTGGTGAAGCAATGTAAAAAGAGAGCAAATGAGAGTGGGTGAGAAGTTATCAACAAATTTTGTTGAAAATAAGAAGTTTTGGAGTGAGATTAATAAGTTGAGAAAGCCTAAGGAAAGAATGGATTTGTTAGTTAAAAATAGGAAAGGAGTGTTATTAAATGGAGAGTTAGAGGTACTGGGAAGATGGAGAGAATATTTTGAGCAATTGATAAATGTAGATGAAGACAGGGAAGCTGTGATTTCGTGTATAGGGCAAGGAGGAATAACATCTTATAGGAGTGAGGAAGAACCAGTTGTGAGTGTGGGGGAAGTGAGTGGGGCAGTGAGTAGAATGAAAGGGGGTAAAGCAGCTGGGATTGATGGGAAAATGATAGAAATGCTAAAAGCAGGTGGGGATATAGTTTTGGAGTGGTTAGCTTTTATTTAATTAATAAATGTATGGAAGATAGTAAGGTACCTAAGGATTGGCAGAGAGCATGCATAGTTCCTTTGTATGAAGGCAAAGGAGACAAAAGTGTGTAAAAACTATAAGGGAAGAAGTATGTTGAGTATACCTGGTAAAGTGTATGGTAGAGTTATTATCGAAAGAATTAAGAATAAGATGGAGAGCAGGATAACAGATGAACAAGGAGGCTTTAGCAAGGGCAAGGGGAGTGTAGACCAAGTGTTTGCAGTGAAACGAAGGTGAACAGTATTTAGATAAAGGTAAAGAGGTATTTGTGGCATTTGTGGATTTGGAAAAGGCATATGATAGGGTGGATAGGGAGGCATTGTGGCAAATGTTGCAAATGTATGGACTAGGAGGTAGGTTATTGAAAGCGGTGAAAAGTTTTTACGAGGATAGTGAGGCTCAGGTTAGAATATGTAGGCGAGAGGGAGATTATTTCCCTGTAAAACTAGGCCTTAGACAGGGATGTGTGATGTCACCATGGTTGTTCAATATATTTATAGATGGAGTTGTAAGAGAAGTGAATGCTGGTGTGTTGGCAAGAGGTGTGGGGTTAAAAGAAAAAGAATCTAACACAAAGTAGGAGTTGTCACAGTTGCTCTTTGCTGATGACACTGCTTTTGGGAGATTCTGAAGAGTAGTTGCAGAGGTTGGTTATGGCATGTAAAAGAAGGAAATTCAAAGTAAATACATGTATAGGAAAGAGTAAGGTGATGAGGATAACCAAAAAATTAGGTAATGGATCGAACATTTCTGCTACTTTGAGCTCAATTTCAAGGTACTTTTCATTATGAAACCAATCAAAATCATCTCAAATTCTGTAATGTGTCTTCCATTCTATAAAATGAGACCAGGAAAACTAAATTACAACCATAAACAGCATACGAAAATACAGTGCAAAGTTGCTGTTTTAAACCAAAAACACAGTCGGAGTTTTTTTTTTTCTCATTATGCACTGTGTGCTGCAGAATTTTTTTTATACTGTGCACACTCACCACATAGACCTATTCTTTCATATGTAGGCCTACCAGCTTTCTCTCACTAGATTTGAAGGCGCTAGAATTTTGGCGTTCTAGTATGTCAATAACCCAGGTGCGTAAGCCGTACTAGTACGTCGGAAACCCTGAAAGGGCTAGAAACCTCTGGGGTACTTTCCTCCAGGACAGCACTAGCCCCCTCAGGATCATTGTCCTCCAGGACTACACTAGCACCCTCAGCACTGTCCTCCAGGACTACACTAGCACCCTCAGCACTGTCCTCCAGGACTATACTAGCACCCTCAGCACTGTCCTCCAGGACTACACTAGCACCCTCAGGAGCACTATCCAAGACAGACCCGTCCCTACCACCCATCATATTTTCCCAGCTCTCATACCATGCTGACATGTCTTTCAAGAAGGATCTTTTATTGACGTTTTTGTCTTTTAATATAGATGTCATTTCCTCATACAGGTGTATCTCGTTTGGGCAGACCCAAAAACCTCTCTCTGATGTTATGTCAAGTGTGGTCACTGGTTTAAAATCTCCCTGCATATACTATGGGACCATTTAAAACAGAGATGGCAAGCAATCCAGGCATGTTTTCGTCCCTTACCCTTTCTGCAGACTACACAGATCTTCATGGTGGTGGTCATCTTACAATACTTGACAACTCTCCTAGCTAGCTAGTCTATAATTCCTGGAAGTACTTAATTTTTTTTTAACAGATCTTCCGGTTTGACTATTTCCAATGAAAACTGTTTGAATCCGCCAGAATCCAGTGAATTCAGAAGAATCCGGTTTGTGGATCACTATACAGTATATTTTTACTAAATCGCCTTAACAGTAGATCTGTCTATCTGTACTGTATCTATTTGTTGTAGTTACTGTTTGGGTGTTTGATGAGGGCATGTAAAGCCCCATCAGTTAATAAAGCCAGTCAGAAAATACCTTGTTATCAACGAATCCATTTGAATCCGGTCATTGGACAAAATCCAGCAATCCAGACAATCTGAGCGAATCCAGATTAGTGGATCACTGAGCAGTTTTGGACTAGCTCATGAAAAGGGCTCTGGAAAAATATTAAACAGAGTAAAATGTGTTCAGTTTGATACAGAAAGCATAACTTGTGTGTTTGGGCACAGGTGGCTTCTGTAATGAAGATTATTGGAGGAATATTTGATTTTCGTCGTGTATATTGCGACCGCTGCTAACTACAGGTTTACCACAAACTGTATATGTCACTCAATCACAATAAGTACTAATAATTATACATTGTTTATCATATTTCTACAAAACTACGCTTTTTTTATTTCCTCGAGATTTTGCACCTCTTCTTATTTCAACAGGAATGTTTTACCCCTGGTATCACTCATTTGTATGTCAGGTACACTTGTCGACCTGCCTGAGAGGTTCTGGCGACTGCTGGCAACTGTTTACAAAATGAACCTGCCTCTAGGCCTAACACTTCACTTTTAAACTTCACCTTATCATTTATTATCTATACACCACAGTATATCTATATACTACAGTACCACTGTCTGTACGCTATAACACTATGTATAACACACTATTATCAGGGAGACTGTCTTTCCTCTGACAAAAAAGTTCTAATAATATTTTACAACAGCACTCTAGGCCTAAAGTTTCCCCCTGAAGTATGGGTATGCTTTGTTATTGTACACTGATTCTCCTTTTTTGACTCGGTAGATATTATTTTCTGCTAGACTAGTTCCAAGCGCTGGAGGGATATATCTTACAAGTTTATGGGAACAGTTTAAAGTTCTAGCACACAAGAAAGACCATGAAAAACATGAAAGAACACGGTGGCATGGCACACGGCGGCAGATACTAAAGGAGGTGTTGTGTGCAAGGGGTTTGGACTTCCAGCAAGTGTGCGTGAGCGTGTTAGATAGGAGCGAATGGAGACAAATGTTTTTTTTAAGACTTGACATGCTGTTGGAGTGTAAGCAACGTAACATTTATGAAGGGATTCAGGGACACCGGCAGGCCAGACTTGATTCCTGGAGATGGGAAGTGCAGTGCTGGCACTCTGCAGGAGGGGAGTTAATGTTGCAGTTTTATAACTGTAGTGTAAGCATGCCTCTCACAAGACAGTGATGGAGTGAATGATGAGAGTTTTTCTTTTTCGGG